GGTGCCAGGGACTCAGGGGGTAGTCTCTGGCCCAATGATACTGATCTCCTTTCAGCCAGGGGCCGGGTTGGCCTTCCGTCAGACACAGACTCCCAACACCACTGACACCCACTCAAGTGCATTAGCAGAGACAGAATCTATTACGTGGTCTCGGGAGAAGCCCACGGCAGTGAGGAGTCTGTGGGCACCACTTCAAAGGCAGCTCAGGCAGTGCCCTGCCCACCCTCACTTCTCCTCGCTGGCTAACGGGACACAGACCCACTGTCCCCGAGACCCACTGTCCCAAGACCCGGCCCCGCGGCAGACAGAGGGCTCTCTGAACAGGACGTTCTCTTTGGTCTTTTTTTTTTCCTGATAAAAAGGTTTGAATGTTATTCTACGACACAGGAGCATATCCTACATAATAAAGGGCTAACGGGCCACTTAGGCTGAACTGCAGAAGACTGTCCGGAACCTTCCGGATGAGGCCGGGGCTGTGGAGGCCGAGCCCCGTGCAGGAATCCCGTGCACCGGCCTCGAGCAGCAGAATAAAAGGAGGAAAAGAAACCACTTCTCACCACTAAAGTCCCTTTCGGGAGCCCGATGCTTTTTTTTTTTTCAATTTGGGTGTAATTGCCTGCAGGATATAAAACCAATACAAATGCTTACTATGAGACCTCTCGTGAAAAAAAAAGAACTTTTAAAAGCAAATAAGTATTGATTTAGCAGGCTGCTTGGCTAAAGGTCAAATATTTGTGTCCACTTTCACCGCACTTTAAAAAATACATATATTTATTGATTTCAGAGAGGAAAGGAGAGGGGGAGAGAGAAACATCAACAATGAGGGAGAATCATGGATCAGCTGCCTCCTGCACACCCTACACTGGGAATCGAGCCCCCAACCTAGGCACAATTTGAACCTGGGAATCGAACAATGGGGAATCGAACCCGGGTCCCTACAGTCCGCAGGCCGATGCCACTGAGCCGAACCAGTAAGGCTGCACCACACCTTTTTCTAATTGAATGAAAATGCCCAACAGATGGACATATTTGGAAATCACCAGAAGAACTGTGGTAATTCCTCTAAGAACCGAACACCAGTGTGATGAGTCCACAGAGGCAGCGTCTGCCCCCCATGGCCCCGAAGGGTGTCCAAGGGGCCCCTGTGTCCAGAGGAAGGTCAAGGGAAGCCTGGTTCCTCCTGGCTATGCACATACCCACTGTCCTGGGGTGTGTGGGGGGGAGACCGTCTAGGGGTGCGATGAACCCGCAGCCTCGGAGGAAGGAGGGCGTTCCTCTCACTCCCTCCGCACCCTGCACCAGGTCTCCAAGGAGCGTGGGGAGTGGCTTATGGGACCCTGAGTGGGAAGGAGAACCTCTCCCATGGAGGGAGACTCCACCATTTGGCCTTTTCCCACCAGACTTCCTCTCGGGGAACATAAACCAAGGAAGATGCTGCTTCAGACAGCACGCCATGACTTTTTAATGAGATCGCCGCCTCTCACAGCAGCAGCCTGGCCGCCGTGGTTGTGAGAACAGAGGGGTCTTGCCGGCGGGAAGCGCAGGCTGGGAAAGGACACCGATGTTCCCATGGGTTTGAAACAGCGGCCCCAGAGGAGCTGTCAGCGCAGTGACTGTCCAGATCGGAGACCTGGGGCTCTGAGGAGCGGCCATGACCACTCAGACGGGGGAAAGCACCGCCCACGCCGCCTCCCGGAGACCCTGATGGGAGACAGGCCAGGATGGGGTTCAGGTACAGCAATCCTCCGGCCCATGGCTGATGATCAATGCCATCAGCCGGTCCTAATGGCTTCCCATCGATTCCTTTTAACCAACAGGGTTTAGGTGCCAAAGTCTATGCTCTGTCCGACCAACCGGCCTGGCTCAGGGGCTGAGCATCGGCCTAGGAACCAGGAGGTCACGGTTCTATTCCCAGTCAGGGCACAGGTCTGGGTTTCGGGCTTAATCCCCAGTGTGTGTGGAGCATGCAGGAGGCAAACGGTCCATGGTTCTCTCTCACCCTGATGTTTCTCTCTCTCTCTCCCTCTCTTCCCTTTCTCTCTGAAATAAATATAATCAGTATGTGCAGGTACAACTGCCTCTTGTTCTGGGCGGGGTCACTCCGCCACGCTCCCCCGGGGGACCAGCATTCTTCCCGTCACAGATGCGTCCCCAGGTCAGGGACGGGAACCGCTGCTGGACTCCGTTCCCGTACCTGGTGTCCTTGGCCGTTCCCATGTTTTCGGCAGCAAATGGCATCATAATGATTTAAAATGTAAAAATGCACAGAGGGCGCTTGCCTTTGAAAGGGGAAATACCCACTCGGCCATTACCACGTCCTGACATCCAATCCATCCACTCGCCCTGGGCCCTTACTTCATTCAGCAGATCGTTAACTGGCTCTTTGATCAGCTGGAGACTAAATCAGTGAACAACAGCCAACCCCTCCTAGCTGTCCTGAGCTCCCCCCGGGGATCGCAGCCCAGGACATGGGCAGCTGCCGGGGGCGCCCTCCTGCTGAGCAAGGGCAGGCCCCTCCCACTCTGGGCTCCACATGTGACTGGGTGGAGCCAGAGCCTCAGGGTAACCTGATTACATGACTGATGTGTGTGCAACCCGTGTCACACGGGACTTCCATCCGGAAGTGTTTTGAGCTTTTCTTTTAAGGTGAGATGCTTACGGAGCCCCAATAAAAATGCCACGGCAACAACCACCATGGCAATCCTATATAACAAAAGCCTGATATGCAAATCGTCCCCACCAGTGGTCTGTGGAGGGAGTACAATAAGAGGAGATTGGGAGTTCAAACCCTCACTATGACGTGCTCTGATCACCAGGAGGTGGCACAGAACATGGCGGATGTTGGTGACATGGTGTTGGCAGCGGGCGGCAGTGGATGTGCTGCTGGCCCCAACAGGCCCCTACAAGAGCGGGATAGTGGAGCAGGTGAACGGGCGGCGACAGGCCAAGGCGGGTGTGAGCAGGGGCCCAGGTGCTGCCCCGGGCCCAGTGGTCAGCTGGGAGCTGTCCTTCCACACCAGACAATCATGCTTTGCTCACCGGCCAGGCCTAGCAACCACACCCATGCACCAATTCCGTGCACCGGCCACTAGCAATAATCATACCCACACTCAATAGAAAGGGGAGGAGGAGGAAATACCAGGGGAAGAAGGAGAAGGACTTCCCATCTGGTGCCTGCTGCCACCTGAGCTGTGCGCTCACACGTATCACACGACAAACCCTCCCTCGCTCCCCCCCCCCCCTTTTGCCAGGCATTGGGGAATCCAGGCTCCAGCAGGAGCCGGGCCCAGCGGGCAGGGCGCTGAGCGGCAGACCAGCCCTGACCACTTGCCATAGATGCTAAATGACCTCACGTTGTACGAAGGAAGGTACCTTTTAAGACCTTGTTGTAAGCCCTTCAAAAATATACAAACTATTCAAAACCAGTTTGGCTCAGTGGATAGAGTGTCAGACTGCATACTGAAAGGTCCCAGGTTCAATTCTGGTCAAGACCATGTACCTTGGTTGCGGGCACATCACCAGTAGGGGGTGTGCAAGAGGCAACTGATTGATGATTTTCTCTCATTGATGTATCTAACTCTCTATCCCTCTCTCTTCCTCTCTGTAAAAAAATCAATAAAATATATTTTTAAAAAATTATATATATATTAGAATGAAATAAGATAGAAATTATAAAATTCAAGGAAGGAATGGAGTTGATTTTGTTAAAGGTACAGGTTCTGTACCATTGTATTGTTCTTAAGTATTATAATGAGGAAATGTTTTATTTTCTCCATCAAAATGGAAGAAACCCTTGATGGTTGGAATTCCGGTCTGGGGCTCACCCGGCACGCCCGCTCCCTGGGCCAGTGAGCAACTGTGCTTGAGCGCAGATCCAGGGAGCTGAGTCTGCTGTTCACTGGGAGACACGCCTGCTCTTCCCGGAGTTAAATGGCATGAAAGTGGCCTGAACCACTTGCCGTTCCAGAGAGGCTGCTGCCACTGCCAATCTAGCTTACTCTCCCTCTGCTTTTTAAAACGTAGAGAACAGCCCAAACCGGTTTGGCTCACTGGACAGAGCATCAGCCTGCAGACTAAAGGGTCCCAGGTTCGATTCCAGTCAAGGGCGTGTACCTTGGTTGTAGGCACATCCCCAGTGGTGGGTGTGCAGGAGGCAGCTGATCGATGTTTCTCTCACATCGATGTTTCTAGCTCTCTATCCCTCTCCCTTCCTCTCTGTAAAAAGACAATAAAATATATTTTAAAAATAAAATAAAATGTAGAACAACCAAATAACAGAAGCTAGACTTCCATATGAAACAATAAGTGTGCGCCCTCCTTCCTCTCTCCCGGCATCTCATGTCCAGTGAGCCACCTTTGCCCCCACCGTCTCTGCCCAGACAAGCCAGAAACCACTTCTCGCCACCATCACACCTTCTCACTGCGAGCCCATTCAGTGCACCTGCCCCGCAGGACACAGTGCCTCCCACAGCGCCAGAGAGATAGGCCCAGCACGAGTCTCTTTCCCAGCCTCGGAGATTACCTGGACAGCATCCCCTCCCACTCCCAGCAGGTCGGTCTGCAGCTACACGGGGTAACGCGCCAGCCTGCTGTGGCCTCTGGTTCCCCGTTGCCTGCTCAGTCACCCTAGTTCTGTGGTTTTCACCAGGCAGTTCTTGCAGAGTCAGCGTCACACTGTCCTTGATAGGCAGCTACTTGTTTATTTCTTAATAAATATGTTTTCATTGAGTTTTTAGAGAGAGAGGGAAGGAAGAAGGAGAGATAGATGGAAACATGGCTGAGAAACATCAATGGCTGCCTCCTGCACGCCCCCCACTGGGGATTGAGCCTGCAACCTGGGCTTGTGCCCTGACCGGAAACCGAACTGGGACCTCCTGGTTCCTAGGCTGACACTAGTCCACGGAGCCACACTGGCTGCGCTCAGCTTTCTGTTTTGTGCAAATGGTTATCACAGGGCTTTCCACCCACCGTCCCACTGTCTATGATGAAGGAGACTCCAGGGTTGAGAACCAAGCCCATTAACACCATGTAAAAGCTGCGTTACAGACTGAGCACAGGCTCCCCGCGGCAGCCACACCAAGTCCATGAGGCTCCGCTCCTGGCGTGTGCAGGTGTCTGCTGTCAGGACACACACCAGGATGTTGCTGTTGCTCCCAGGAAAGAATGATCAATGACACGCCAGCCACTTCCTGCTGCCCCCGCCACATGTTCTGTTTCTACTCGCCAGACCCAGCTGATGCTTTTTTATCCCCAAGTCAACTCCTCCGGCTCCCAACCACTGTCCAGAGCGAGAGCAGACACGCAGGCTCAGCCGTGCCCCACCCCGTGGCTGATGTGGGCGAACCCCTTCCTCACGGGCCCAGGAGTCTGAGCCCCGGCTAAGCCCCACCGCCTCCTCCACGTTTGTCTACTGGGTCCCCTCGGCTCATGGACAGGACCCCAGGTTGCTTTTGCTGTTAATGGAAATAAATGAACAAAAAGATCTGGAAGCAAAACAACTTAAAAAGCAGAGAAGAAGCCCGGCCCGCGTGGTTCAATGGTTGAGCGTCGACCTATGAACCAGGAGGTCCTGGTTGAATTCCTGATGAGGACACATGCCTGGGTTTCAGGCTTGATCTCCAGTGTAGGGCGTGCAGGAGGCAGCCAATCAATGGTTCTCTCTCATCATTGATGTTTCAATCCCTCTATCCCTCTCCTCTCTGAAATCAATAAAAATATATGGTGTCTTTTTGTTATTGTTGCTGCTGTTGTTATTTTTTTTAAAGCATATAGAAGCATGTATTATCTAGTACAGTGGTCGGCAAACTCATTAGTCAACAGAGACCAACAGTACAAGGATTAAAATTTCTTTTGAGAGCCACATTTTTTAAACTTAAACTTCTTCTAATGCCACTTCTTCAAAACAGACTCTCCCAGGCCATGGTACTTTGTGGAAGAGCCACAGGCAAGGAGCCAAAGAGCCGCATGTGGCTTGCAAGCCATGGTTTGCAGACTACTGGTCTAGTATATATTAATAAAAGTCACTTTCTACACAAGAACGGACATAGAAGTTAGTTTTCTTTGGATCAGACAAAACCTCCGGCTTTGCCCAGGTACAGGAACAGCCTCTAGGGGAGTGACGAAGGGGGCGTCCTATTTATTCTTTGACTTTTCCAAACCAGTCGGAGCCCGTGCAGACCACCGGGTGTTTACTGAAATCCCTACACTCCATCCCTGGGTGACCTTTTCTGGAGGACAATGTAAACACAAGTGTCCTTCCGAGATTATTCACCCTGCCGATTTATCTAAAGATAAAATTCCAATAAAAGCCCAAGGAGACAGGCAATGAGGCTGCCTGGCCTCTCCAGCCAGGCCGTCCCTTAGGCCTCTCGCCCACAGGCACACTGTGTCGGAGTCATCAGCTCGTCCATCACTCAGCCCTGGAAATCTACCATTGTCATGATACGGAAGTGGCACCCGCCAGCAGATGCATGGATAAGAACGTGGCAGCACGTGTGCATAGTGGAATACAAAGCAACCATCTAAGTAGAATCTGGTCATTTATGACAACATGAATGACCCTAGAGGACATTAGGGTAAGTGACGTATGTTGAATAGAGAAGGACAAATAATTTCACTTGAGAATAAAGTAAAGGAAGAAAGCAAAACAGAAATGGAGTCAGAGAGGCAGAGAACAGACTGGAGGTTGCCAGAGGGGCAGGGAGAGGTGGCCAAACAGGAGGGGGGTTAAGGAAATAACTTTCCAGCTATAAAGCTCGTCACGAGGGGGTAACATCAACACAGGGAACATGGTCCACAACACGCAGCAACCGCGTACGGTGACAGTGGTGACCAGATGTGCTGTGACAGGAGTGTGTGTTCATTCCCTGGCTGCACACACCAGGAAATACTGTGATATTGTATAGCAACCCCAATCACAACACATTTACGTGAAAAGTGGTATGAGCACATTTGGGGAATGGAAATCCCCAGATGTAAATAAGAACTGGTATGAGAAAACAAAACTTTAAACCTGTGCATCAAAGAAACATAAATTCAGACCAAGTAAGATGTGTGGATGGGAAAAAAGGCCACTGATCACCTGGCCAGCTCAGGGGAGGCCTGTGTGGTGGTTTGGCAAACTCAGAGACCAACAGTAACCACACAGGATGGTCTGCAGCTAAAATTTTAACTAAGCCGAAACCAGTTTGGCTCAGTGGTAGAGCGTCGGTCTGTGGACTAAAAGGTCCCAGGTTCGATTCTGGTCAGGGGCATGTACGTTGGTTGTGGGCACATCCCTTGTAGGGGGTGTGCAAGAGGCAGCTGGTCGATGTTTCTCTCTCATCGATGTTTCTAGTTCTCTATCTCTCTCCCTTCCTCTCTGTAAAAAATCAATAAAATATATTTTAAAAGTCTCATTAAAAAAAATTAACTAAAAGCAGTTTACTAGTCTAGTGGGGAGTCATGTCCTAGGCCGGTATCTCCCCTGACAAAGGCCAACTCCTGTCTTTACAGAGCCTGTTGTCCTTCTGCATCTCAGATGACACACTTGTGGGATCAAGTCAGGGTTACTTATAACTTCCCTTTTTCTTATTTTTTAAAAATATATATATTTTATTGATTTTTTACAGAGAGGAAGGGAGAGAGATAGAGAGCTAGAAACACTGATGAGAGAGAAACACCGATCAGCTGCCTCCTGCAAACCTCCTACTGGGGATGTGCCCACAACCAAGGTACATGCCCCTGACTGAAATCAAACCTGGGACCCTCCAGTCCGCAGGCTGACACTCTATCCACTGAGCCAAACTGGTTAGGGCAAACTTCCATTTATCAGGACCCCTTGGGGCACAACAAAAGCAACAAGACAGATAGCACAAATCCCCTCATTGTGATTGTTATCATGCTGACTGTTCACTGCTAACTGCCCTGCACCCATGGCATCACTAAGGATGTCTGACTACTGGCTTAGGGTGGGGAGTGGGCCTAAGCCATCAGTCAGACATCCCCTGAGGTCTCTCTGACTGTGAGAGGGCACAAGCCAGGCTGAGGGACCCCCACCACATGCACAAATTTCATGCACTGGGCCTCTAGTAACACAATAAAGAAATACACTGAGAGGTAAAATGTCACCACCAAGCACAGGAGAGCAAAAATACCTGCCATGTTCCTGGTTATGCTGATTCATTTCTGCCCACCACCTGCTTGAGGTATGTTAGAGCCAGAACGTGGGAGATGACAGCGTGGTATCCTGATATTTGTAGCTTAACTCAGGGCAAAAAACTCAAATAAATGATTGCTTTTCAATGAGTAACAATATAATGAGATCAATACTTCTCCGAATGCTGGGGTGTTACATAAATTCTCAAAGGTTACCAGATATTTCCTTTCTGAAGTGTCTAAGTCTCTCCTGCTTTGATTTAAATCCAGGTTGCCTTCATTTGCATATGGAAGATGAACATTTCCAAATGAAGGAGAATCAAACAGGGGTCCAACCGCCAGACCAGAGTGGCTGAGGGACAGAGCTTCTACCTATGACCCAGGAGGTCAGGGTTCGATTCCCAGTCAGGGCACAGGCCTGGGGTGTGGGCTCCATCCCAGAATGGGGCGTGCAGGAGGCAGTCAAGTGATGATTCCCCTCATTGATGTTTCTCTCTCTCTCTCTCCCCCTCCCCCGTGCCCTCTCTGAAATCAATAAAAACACATTTAAAACAAAGCAAACCTCCCTGTCACATCACCACGGGAGGCGCCCTTTGCGTCTGAGAGGGATCTGCAGGAGGGGCCTCAGCCTCTGCCCTCCCACACCCCCACACTCCGTTCATCCTTCCTTTGAGCTCTCTGAACAGCACCATCGGCTAAGACCACAGAGCGATCTTTCCCAGGTGGCATCGGATCCGTCCTGTTTCCCTCCATCTCATGTATGCTGCCCTGCTATCGGAACAGGTACAGCCGTACTTCTAAAGGCCTGAGCCGGCTTCCATTCCTCAGCATCGGGCTGCGTGTTGGGAAGGAGGTAGATCTGGGCGCCCTCGGTGAGGACGGGCTATTTCAGTTCATGGGATGCGCTCCAAGGGGGTGGGGGTTGAGTGCATGGGAGACGCCCCATGTCTAAAGCTATTGGGCAAACAGAGACATTACCAGATCCACCTCACATGCCAGAGACATGTGTTCACACAGGAAGCACACAGGTGAAAGAGCCCACACCTCAGCCGGGGCCATGGGTGACACTGAATTCCTAGCTTCTCCAGATGCTCCTCTGGAGAACCACCACAGATAAGAGGTGGCCGTCCACTGTGAGCCTACGTGTTTGTCCACGTGAGACACGCCTCACTCCCCTCCTGCCATTTCACCCCTATCACCCCGTTTCCTCTTCCCCCAGAGTCCCTCCTGTTCTGGGAGTCCAGACCTCCGTCCCCTCGGCTGGAGAGTGGGATGGGGTCAGCCTGCAGGGCTGTGTCATTGTAACAGGGCTCGATGGCCCCTTCACCATTTGAGCTCTTACTGATGCGACGGCACCCTGCCAGGCGTCTTCCTGGGAGGTGGGTAACCATGGGAATGGAGATACTTGCTCTGACCACTTGTTCACTTTCCAAATAACTCACTTCTCTCCTCTCTGACTCCCTCTTACCCAACAGCCCTGAAAAGACGAATGGTCCTTGGGAAGGGAGTAATGTGGCAACTCGCAATGGAATCCCGATTTAAATATGTAAACACATTATTAATGACACAGACGCCACCCACTGCAACACCAGTGCAGGGTCCCCATGCAGGCGTGGGTAACATATGCTGATTTATCGGAAACTCGTGAATCCACGCTATTAGATGAGGGCGCTGGAATTCCCCTGAAGATCCCTCCCTGAAGCAAAGCAAACAAACACACCTGAGCAAGAGACCAGCTCTGAGCTCCGAAAGCCCCACGCCCCTCCCGCCGCGACTCACAAGGGGTCAGATGTCAGACACCTGAAGACGGGTGACGTCCATGAGACCATTTCCGTTCTCTAAGCAGCAGCTCCCCCCTGGAAGGGACCATGTGGTG